AACCGGATTCATTTGGACAAACTGGGACAAAGGTCTTAGCGATGGCCATTAGGATTTTTTAGGAAGGCGGCTCAGCGATGCATTAAGTGATGAGGAGAGCAGGAGGGTAACCTGATAAATGCACTTAAAACGGCAAAGATGGACAATGAGCGGGCGAAATCTCAGACGGCGTGCACGCGCAGGAGTGCGTGTGCCTGCTAGGCATTTTGACTGACTATTGATCAGCTGTAGACAGTCTTGGGGCGGGTTGGAGGGGCTGGAGGTGAGTGGTGAGGGCTCAGATGGGGCAGGTACAGGAGAGGGAGTGGAAAAGTAAGATATTTGTCTTTAGACAGTTTTTTGCCAATATAACAAAAAACAAGATTGTCTGAAACAGATGTGATGTAATGTATCCTCTGGTGCGCTGATAGTTGTGAAAACGCCCAGCTCTTGTTATTGAATAGTAATAGGCTTGTCGGCCACTGCCTCCAATTTCACAAATGGAGCAATAAATACACACTACAGAATGGGTGAACAGTAAGAATGGCTGTAAAGTATGTAGCAGCCCCAGAAACAAAGCATGTGAGAGGGTGGAGGGAGAGAATTTGACGATGCTAAGTGATGAAAAGTGCGAGTGTGAAGTGCGGGCGCGCGCTGGTGGCAGGGCACTCTGGATTTCTGTGCCACCAGCTCTCCTGGGCATTTGCGTGCTCTGTTTTCCACCTAAGTGTAATTCGAGGCGCCGGGTTGATACAAAGTGTATGCAGCAGCTCCGTTCAAAGCCAATCACTCACCCTGACGTGTAATCCTTTCCCTCGCCATCATCAACGTTGCTTTGGGAATAATGAAACACACTTAAGCAATTCACAGCAGTCATACAGCTGCGCGCGGGCCCGCATCTTGATGAGATGTCTCGTAACTCTAATGAAACGTGTTTTGACCTGTCAATGGGCGTAAATGATTGCCCCGCTACTGTATCTATGGGAAACTTATTGATAGCAATATCTGGTCCAAGCGGGTGATTTGCATGAGAAACAAGGAGCACATTGCTCTTAAAAATACAGCACCTGGTTGCTAGTGATGCAAGATATTTCATTTGTGTCATTTGTACCACTTTATAATAACTGGATCTTAATTAGCCTTAATAAAGCATGTACAAAGACTTCATTCATGATGAACAAGTTGTCTTATTTAGAATGATTAATATATAGGGGTTGGGGTTAGGAGTTAGTGCTGTCACAATACTAACATTTCAAATTTGAGTTTGACACTAAGGAATAAACTCAATACTGATACTACTAATAGAATGCAATTTTCAACATTAAATTGTAGTGCTTTCTTTTGTATTACCAAATTATATCTGTGTAATCCCTCAGTTGTCCAGGTAGGTGCCATAGTGGTCCATGGGTGTGTCCTAGTCTATGTGGTCTTCTGCTCAAGATTATTTTAAAGCTATTGAGGAAAGGCTTATTTCTGTCCTGTGAATTTGACTTTTTTAGTACTGATACTATGGATGTCTCGATACTAGTTTTAGTATGGATTAGTAACTCCTATTAGTAGTTAGTGCATTAATTAAGTAGCATGAACCATTCTTAAATAACAATTTGTTCATTATGATTTAAGTCTTTTTTCTTTATGAAGGCTATTAACAGTGTAGTTATAATAAAGTGTTACCATGTCATCTTCTTTTCTCCCTGTCTAGTCGTCTCTTGACTCGCATTGCCATTGTTTCCATGTAGAGGATTATTCGTATTAATTGGTAGCAAGACATTATTTCAAAAAGGGAAATTGGCTGTTATAATTATAGAGAGGAGGGAATACTGTAAGTCCCTGGAATATCAGCTTCCTGAAATAATGGAGCCACATCCCCACACCCCCCACCTCCATCAGTGAGCGTGTCTGTCTGCCTGTTTCCTGTGACCGATCCATTCTCCACAGCTCCTGGCCTGGCTGGGGATGCTTGAATGGTTGGATGAGTTGGTGGGCGGCTGGGTGGCTAACAGCTGCATGTCTGCACCAGTCAGTGGGTGCTGCAGAGTAAAATGGGTAAATACAACCGGCACAGGGCAGGGTTAGGGCTAAGAGGCACCAGTCGAGCAGAATGACTAAGTAGGAGACACATTATCCTGCTGGTAAACATGCATAAGCTACTACTTACTTCAAACTGCTTCTGGGGAAATGTCAAGTGTTCTCTAATAAACACATATTGGCCACTGAAAACTGAACAATTGTTTATCACTATTGAAATGGCTTAATTCAAATGTTAATTTACTAACTAAATTACTACTGTTTAGATACTCTACTGCATTTAATTTACCTAACAAAGTCAAAGGGACATGCAGATGTTACTAATTTTGTAACATTTGTCACATGTCCTTATTCCTATTGTGTGAATTTGCTGTTCTTCATTGACCATTTACACAAAGGTACAACACAAAGCAGTGACAGAGTTCAAGGAGTATTTAATTCATTGATCCTTTTTGAAAATCAAAATGTAAAAGTTACACAGATATTGATGATTCAACAACCAGAGATATCAATGTACACCGTTGTGAGCGATATATCACACTAAAAGTCCAGTAGCACAGAAGCAGGAAATCAGCTGCCTGCTCCTGTCTGCAGAGAGGGACCAGTTCTGACTCTAGTGAAAATGACGTACCCGCTTAGGAAGTGAAGAGTGGGCTCAGAGCCACCACAACCAGGTCAGAATGAAGCATGCTTTTACAAGTGAATGAATGAGGCCAGTGCCTACAATTACAAATGATTTGGCAGGAGCACTGATGAGGAAATGCTGTTGAAAACAAAGATGGCTCAGGTATGTCACATGATCAGTCAGAGAAATAGACTATGAATATGAGGTAGTAGTCAGCAGGGGGCTGCATACTTTTAATGATATTTCGGCAACCTACTGTTTTAATGGTGATATATGTACACACTTGTAATGTAAGACATATTTTAGTCAACAAAGTGCCACACTGGAAAAAGCCTCTGTCTGATGGGTTATCCCCCTGACCACTACAAAATGCTTATCATTAGCTTGGACAGGGGTTATTGTCAGTCAAGCAATTAGGTTTAGAAATTGGAATCAAAGTCTTTTCTCCTGACATTAATACTGTGATTGGTGGTCCCATTTGTGCCACACAACATTAAAAGTTGGAAACAGTTTTAAACAGATTCAGGACCACACGTGATAGAGGTCTGGATTGCATTTGGAAGAAAATCGAATTCAGGCTGTTCACACATGAAAGATCTTACACAGGTTACATAAGGGCAAAACACTTTGGCCTGCGCTTGGGACGTATGTATCCTTATGAACTGAAGGTACATAATGACCTTTGAGACCAGCGCTTGGTAGCTAGACCGGTCTAATAGGTTAGGAAGATGAGGTACCAGAAACATGGCAGTACTGGAGCAGACCTACTATAGGTTGAGCCATTGTGTATTGTTATGTCATGAGTTGCTTTGATCACAGTATTTTATGGTTGAGGGTTATACAATCAATCACATTACATGAGATTCTTCAGTAGTAAGCACACTTTTCCTCACATAAGAGAAGGGGAGCAAGGCTCTGTTGGAGAGTGAGTCACTGTTCTGGTCATCTGGCTAAATCAGGATCTGTGTTTCCCACCAGAGCTCACACCTTGTACTGACACAGGGCTGCACTGTTTCAGCATGCTGACACTTTGTTACTTGCATAGCTATTCACATGTGCATGCTCGGGCATCTCAGGCTGTCCTCACAAGACGCCCGCCCCTCCACTGGGCCGCTGGAGGTGTTACTCTGCACAGTGTCGACATGAGGTCAAGAAGAAGAGATCATGTGCCCACTGTACTTGTGTGGGACAACAGCCTCCCACCCGGTTATAAATAAACCTTGTGAGAAGTCCACTTCAGGCTTGCACCTGCCATTTACCTCCGTTTGGTTGGAGCTCTATAAATGCAGGCACAGCTATTAAAAGACGGAGGTGTCTAAAATGGTGAGAGCAGATGCTGCGCACCTTGCTCCCTGTGTGTGGGATGACTCGGACATAGGCTTTAGGGGGCCCAAAATAGAGGTTGACATATGGGCCTGTGATTGTTTGAACATGGAATCTCCTGGACTTGAGCCACTCACCATAAATCCTTTGATACCACCAGCCACTGATCATCTTTCACCTAGCTTGAATCGGGCCTATGCACGCCAGGGGCAATTTCCATGGGCTCAAACAAAGGCTAAATTTGGCTTCAGCAGGTGACATGAACAGCACTGACTCAGACCAGCCAATGGGGCTCAACACTAGTGTGATGTGTGGTTTAGAGAGAGACAAAAGCAGCACTGAGAAGCACATGGAGTACTGCAGGCTAGGCCTGGCTTTGCTACAGCTCCTTTTATTGCTGAGTTCTACAGAGTAAGATGACTGACTATTATAGCGGCCTTTGCTAGTATGGTTAATTATGAGACCAGGGAGATTTCAGTCTGAAACAGATCTACAGAGATCACATGGTGCACTGCTCTGGAGAGGTATATCCAAGGACATTTAAACTGATAAGAGGTCACATTAACAATTCATTTTTTCCAGAGAAAAACAAAGAGATGATCAAGACCAACTTCACCAGACTTTAAACTGTACACCCAGTCATCCAATAATAAATATGTACAGTACATTTCCTGGTCACATCCAGGAGAAAACACAATGTGAACAGGTGCGCCTCTGCTGCCTCCAGCTACCATTTAAGGATTGTTCAGTTTTCTTAAAAACAAAGCCTTTTTCTGGCAACAACTTATTCAGAAGGGCTGGAGGGCAGATGGTCCATTTGGACAACATGACCACTGACAATTAACAAAAATTATTACTGTACATAGTATTTCTTATATATTTTAAATTAATCTTCATCATTCATTTTATATAATACTAATAACCAAGTTTGCATTTTGTTCTTTTTCAGTAGTGTTCATCAGGATTACTCTGTCCCGTCCAGCACAATCTCGGGTGTCCAAAGAGACAGAGTCTGTGATTGGCTGATGTCAGTCCCATCGGCCAATCAGACTTTAGCCTCAAGCATCTCCAAAAAGAGTTTGTGCATGGGCACTTTGCCCTGCACCTTGATGCTGTAAAAGTGCTGCACTGCCTTGGTGGCAGTCTGCCGGAGCAAGGGTAGGGTCATGAGTAGTTTGCCTGCCCGCCGAGGGTCCTCCTGGTGCTGGCTGCTCTCGTAGTCCTGCAGAGCCTCATGCAGTGCGTCCTGAAGCTTCTGCACCGCCTCCATGTCCTCTATGTGCATAGAATCTACAGGAGGAGAGCACAGGCGAGCGCATCAGGGACAGCTACTTTACTATTTGACAGGACAAAAAATGAATCTAGTACAACATTGTAGTTAGCACTTGGCACTGGTAATATAACAGGAGTGATGTGAAATGGATTTTTCTAAAACTAAATTAAATCTGATGATTGATCTTTACTGCTGTGTCAGTGCTGGGAACACATTATCAGTGTAACTCACTGCACCCCGATAAAGAATAGATCATAAACAAGAAAAGAACCACTTGTGCTTTATTTATTTAGTTCTCTATTTTCCCGTGGAGGAGGCAGGATGTTCACGTGGCCCCTGACCAGAGGGACTGAAAATCAATGATATCCTCCGCTAACAATGGCATGAATAGCACCCAATCTCTGCTGAGTGAGTACACATTAAACACAGCACTGTTTCAGAGGACAAAAACAATGTGAAACTGCTTCCATTAGAGAATTGGACCACATAAAAAAGCACGGCTGAATGCACCTAAGTCTCTGCAATTAATTTCCTCACAGGCCTCAGCGGTACGTCTGACTGAAAAAAACAAAAAAGCAATCCGTCTAAGTCTGATCTGAGACAGACAAGTACAGGGATACATGCTCAAGTCGGATCTGCTATTATACTATTAATAAACGTCCTTTGTATTCCTAAACCTTCCCGAGTACTTCGCTGACAACATAAAAAATGGCTCCTCTCAGATTTTGTTAGCCCAGTTCTGTCCTGGTTGGTGTTAGAGATCTCATCAGGGCAGCTACGGTTTCAGTTTGGAAAGCTTCTCTCTGGTGCTCCTCTCTCCTCTAACGTTTCGCCACATTGCCCCTCGCCTCGTACTGTAGCCTGCATTGGCGCTCGCTCAGGGACAGACCGGGGCCACTGTTTAACTGCCGTCTAGCACACAGGAGACCACGTGTCATTGGCTGGCTCACTGGTCTCACCTTGCCCGTGCAGATTTTACCACACGGGACAATAAAAAGCAAAACAGATTTCAGACTTCGCCCCAAATTCATTGACTGGAACAACTGTATTCCCAAGACCTTGAGACATTTCTCACCCTGACGATTTTCAAATCCACAGCGGTAAAATGAAGTAGGTCATTTTGGAAAGTGAATGGGAAGGAGGGGGCAGGAGGGGGAGAGAACAAAAGACAAAAATCTAATGTGCTGTGACATAATTTTGTCACAGCAGTGAAAATAACAATGTAACTTTGTCAGGAATGTCTCTATTGCCAGTGCATAAACATAAATGGTATGCTTAAACTGATTTGAATGCAAAGTGACGCTTTGTTATGGCCTGAAGTGGATAAAAGAAAATAAAAAGAGAGATAGAGACATCAGAACAGATGGAGGGAAAGAGGAGAGGAGACACTGTGTGTAGTAGTCCTTGGAGGAGGGGCAGACTAAAAAAACAACTTTGAAGAAACAATTTCCTCACAATCCATCAGTGAGGCCACGTCGATCGGATTGATAAACTGCTAATTACAAAATCAATCGCTATGAATTTTCACAGCTGTCAGACAGAGGGGCTCCCGGGAGAGTGATCTTCCACAGACCTTGTTCTAATGTGCCCAGCACCCTCCCCTCCGTGTTCGACCCCCAGTTCTCCTCTCCGCTCGCCCCACCTCTGTACCAAAGCCGTGCGGAGTCAAAGCAAAGCCCCACCATCAGCATTTTCATTTTTCAGGTCGGGACAAAACGCGGAGAGCAGCCGGTGACCCAGGTGAGCATTGATCAGAGTGGGACAGCTCCTGCCTTCTCAAAAGGGGCCTGTCGATAGCTGCGTGCCTTCTCCCTATTGGAATAAACGAGGCCTATCACTCCCTGATACTTATTCCATTGGACTTAACACATTTTATTGACAGCCCCTGCGCTCCAAATGAAATGCTAAATTTATCTCTCCTGGCTGCTGTGCCCTGCAGCTACTGTTATGGAGATAGAGAAAGAGCGCAGGAGAAATACCACAATATATAAGATGTTCAATTAGAACAGCTCTGTCCTCCTGCACTTCACCAACACTGCACTTATCATCCCTCCATCTCTGGCTCCAAACTAAAGGTTACACAAAACTATGAAAACTCACTAATGTCAGACCTCAAACTCGCTTACAACATGTCTGCAATTTATGCCACTTGTGTGCTGTTCAGAGAACTGACTACTGAAACTAATAAAAATATTTCTTCAATTTTAGAGAAATATTTTTTCTTTAATTTGAATATAAATTTTTATAATGATAAAATATACAAAAGTAAGACAGGATTAATAAAACTGTATAACTATATTATAAAATATAAATAATAACATTTTCATTCTATGCACTGTCCTAGTGGGTCTTAAAACAAAACAAATAAAAATACTATTATTCTGCTAAGTTGTGTATAATAATTAAATCAGAATCAAGGACAATGAACAGAATACTACTTTACTTAAAATAATGAGTAATGAACATTAAATGTGTGTATGTGGAGTCACCTGAGTTGGCTAGCGCGATGGCTTTGAGCGTGACAAACTCCTCCTTCTCCACCTTGAGCTTCTTGTACTTGCGCACCAGCTGCAGGATGGACAGGTAGAGGTCGAGCAGGCCGGTGAGCCGCGAGTGCTCTTCATCCATGATGTAGTCCTCTGCGTAAACCAGCTCGTCCTGGTATGGCAGAGAGCGGAATACGATGCTCAGAATCAGGATCTCCATCCATGCACTCTGAAGAAGACTCATCTGATCGCCCAAGGACAGAGTGGAGAACCCTGACAACACACAAGCAAAGGAATACACTTTAATGGGGCTTAGATGGCACTGCTGAACATCTGTAAACATTTACTTAATTTTATATGTGCATAATATGAGGACGCAAAGAGTACCATTGTTAAAATTCACTACTAACCGGCTTGTTGACTGTCTGGCTTGATGTACAGTTTTATTTATAATATTTAGCTTGGCTTGCTGAAATATTAGATAAGGGTGTGAAAATGTTATAACAACATTTTTATCATGATGACTGACACTACATGAAAAATCTTAAGACATTTATTTCCATACATAATTTCTTAAATATATACATTAAAAATGTATATGTCTATTATTGTGTAGTATAGATATTTATACAACCAAGAGTTGTTACTTTTAAAATGTATCATACCATATCTAAAATGACCACTAAATGTATAATTAATTTAGCCCAATTTTGGCTTGTGCAAAAATACACAAGATGAGAAGTGGAGAACACAAGATTCCCACGTTTGTCAACTTGACCTGTGTTTCAGTAGCTGGGACACACCAGTCAAAGCCCATATTAACCAGGGCCGTTAATTTTAAATGCAGGTTGTGTGCTCTCTTTTGAAGCCTGTGTCAGAGCTCTTGAGTGGGCTTTACTGTGAGTGCGGACAGTGCAAAGGTCTGAGGGACACAAAGCCGTGGTTACCCCTTGTATTCTGTCACACTTGTATTGGTGTGAGGGGGATTAACACTGCCATGCAGCCTCATCGGAGGGGTCGAGGACATGGCATGTACGGAGTGCTGGGAGACACACAAACGTGTCAGCAGCATGTATGTACACTACCTGAGCACAGAGACGTAATAGAAAACAAACATACAAAGTGGGCAGAGTTTAAGTCGGGCCGGTATAAGAGATAATGCCAGGGTCATAATTTTCCCATATCATCAGCTCAAAGTGGCTCTGCTTTGACTTCCCATTGGAGGCCTCTACCTATGCTTTGAACAGAGCATTAAGTTAAACAAACCAGAAGATCTCCCATAGATGAGCTGTGAGAAAATTAAACGTAAAGCAAAATAGAACTGAAAAGTGGATAAGAATCTCTCCTTTCATACTAGCCTTTAGCTGTCAATAAACTGCCGTCTCTCTCTAACACACACATACACACACACATACACAGACTGCATTTCCTCATCTCCCTCCTGTCCCACAGAGCTGCTCAGTGCCTGCGGGCGGCCCATTCTGACAGCATATTAGCTCCTTGGCTCCACCCCTGATTAATATGATTGCTTTTTACAAGTTTGCCATTGTCACAGCCGCTGCCAGCGCATGATTAACAGGCGATAGATTACAGTATTGACCATGCAGCTCACCAAAGCGACGCCCCACGTTTTCTCTTAAATATAAATGATCTGTGCATTGGCGGCTCGATGTTTATCTGCTCCTGCCCGGTTACCTTGAACACACATGTATAGGCCCTAGAAAAAGAAACATGAGGAGGAGGAAGTGTGTGGGAAAACAGTGCAGACAGAAGAGAGAACAGAGCAGCCTGGCCGAGTGCTCCCTGAGTGTTCAATTTTCCTTATCGAGGTGATGACCACTGCAGGGAAGAGCTGGAGGATACATTAATTAACAGATTGTGATCAGAATGTGAGGGCCTTCACATTTTGAAGGGGAATCAATAGTCAGTAGAATGGAGTGCTAACAGAAAGGTGCCGGTGCCGAGCTGGACTGGTCAGAGGTCTGCAGAGCCCAAATTAGACCCAACAAAAGCAAACTGCCAAAAGCACTCAAGACACGCAGCTATTATCAGTGGAGGCAATAAGCCATATTTGGTGAACATGGTGCTATTACATGTATTCAAAATGCATCGTAAAATGTTGTGTGATTTCCTTGTCTGCATACGTGGCCATTAAGTTGGACAGCCTGTGGACTGGCCGGAGGGAAATTGTCATGCGAGTGGAGATGTGGTCTTGATTGCTGCATCAGGTTGGCATCACAATCACAGGCAAGGCTTTGTCTAGCCTTTTAATGCCAAGGAGGACTGGAGCGGAACTAAAGCGCTGCTCCCAATGTGACAGCCCGTGTGAAGGCCCGGTTCAGGGCTTGTTGGAGAGGCTTTCGAGCTGCTCTGATGCAGCAGACACCTCTCAGCCATATGCACGCGTACGCCGCAACAGCCTACAATTACCTTTGACGCTAAAAGTCCTTGAATTTAATCCAGTGTTGTGAGATGGAGAGGTGGTGTTTTTCGCCTGCTCCGTCCCCTCTTCTCGGGGCCTAAATTATCGCTCCAAATGGGATCTTGTGTCGTTGCCTCGCTTTTTTCCACTCAATTTAATCGAGTAATGAAGTGACTTCCCGACTCCGCAGGTCACACAGTGCTCCGGCCGCTGCACTCTGAAGGTGGCCCGGTTAAGTGCCGTCAGAGTGGGTGATTTCCTCTAATGAAATATCAATATTTACATCTTCATTTCCAGCCCACTGCCTTGGCGGGCTTTGACCAAACATGACACAATATTGACCAAAGCGGAGAGGCCTGTCTGAGTGCTTGAAGGGCCTTTTCCACTCCACTGCTGAGTGCACCGCCTCATCTCTGTCTACAGGATCTGTGGCAGGAACACTCACACCTAATCATAACATTTGTTTTCCTTTGTTCTCTGGAAAAATGCATCAAAGACATGATTTTAATATTGTGTAGTAACATATTATAAAATGTGTCGTTTTAAGAAAACAATACATTTGACAGTTCTATCACTAAAAAGACAGCTAAGTGCATCCAACACCAGGACTCGTGCCTCAAATGGTAAAAAAGAGCACTTAAGAGCAGCACTGCCAGCCAAAAACATCATCTCTTTTATCTGTGCGAGCCCCCGGCTGTAGGCAGGAGGGGGCAGCCCAAACACTGCACAGACGGTGGGCTCAGACCCCTCCGTCAGATTAATCAGAGCGCCGTTTCATCTGCCAGAGCACAGGACACACCGAAATGAAATGCTGGAGATTTCTGTTGAGCTTGAGTTCATATTCTATTAATTTATTATTGTTTCCTTCTCCCCGAGGGCCATTAGCACGGGTAATAAAAAGAGATGTAATTACGAGGCACGGTGGCCCCCTTCCAGCTGCAACCCCCTCGTAACTCACCCTCAATCAGACAACAGAGCAGACGGGGGAGAGCCGGAGCGGGCTGGAAGGAAAGAAAGAGGGAAGGAGGAAAGAGAGGAGAAGATAGGGGCCAGCGAGGAGGCAGATAAGCAGTGAGGGGGGCGAGGAAACGGGAGAGAGAAAGAGCGAGGCTGTGGCTGGACAGGGGCTGATCTATCATGGGCAGCTATCAGAAGGACAAGCGGGCCCCGAAGACTCGAGCCCAGCGGCAATCTCACCCCGGCCAAGTCAAGTGCTCTCCGGGCCCCAGTTGGAGTAAAACGGCCCCTAACAGGACCCCAGAGGTTCAGCCTATCGCTTTTTTCTTCACCTCGCACTGAGCTGAATGATCCTGCTGCCATAAGCCAATTCACTATCAAAGATGTCCGTTTGAGATACTTTCAGAAAAGATGATAAAACAGACCGCATGCACCTTGAACTTCTACATATAAGACATTACAAAGCAAATCTTTACTCCGACTCCATCAAAAATGATTCGTAAGTCCATGTGAAATGTAAAGAAAAAAAGCATTCTTCTTTTTTTCCTTTTTTTTTAAGTATTGTGTAGCTTTGCAATTTAAAATATATAAAAATATAAAATGTGGAATAACTTTTGACAGAAGGCTTACATCTGAACTTTAACTAATCTAAGAATTGTATGTGTTTAGAACATGCTGAGATCTACAGACTTAAGGGTTAGCATATTTCTTTATTTCTTTGCAGTTTGTTAAATGCGCTATCTGAAATTGCTGAAATTTCATGATTCAATTGCAATATATCGTGCAGCCCTACCAACACCACTTCCCCTTCCCTTTTTCATAGGTAAACAAGCTGGTATGAGTTATTTACCTTTCACATGACAGCACCGGGAGGACCTAATCAATAACCGCTAAGTAATATATTGCTGTGCTTGACATAAATAATTTGAGCTGAAGTCCAGCCACATGCACAAACACAAACAGCTCAGTTTGCTACGAGCCTTTTCCCCGGACACATATTTGATGACACTAAGACTGCTTTTACTATTCACAACAAGCGCATCAATACAAACTGCACTGCCCAGGAACAAAATTCTCCTTTTTTTAATGTAGCCTTGAGCGCACTTACACAGCCACTATCTGTCTCCTTCTTGAATGATAACTAGCCCATTATCTTATTGAAGGCGCTGACGAATGGGTGATTTGAGCGGCGGGCTGTGAACATTATGAGGCCAAGGAACGTTAAATGCTGTAATCCCCTTGTTTTAATCTGCACTCTGTGACCTCCTGACCTTCTGCGAGGAAGTGGTTAGCCCCTCCCCAAGTGCCCCCCCCTTCCTCTTTATATTGATGTTACATATCTCTGTTTAGCCCCAAAGACCAAGATGAATCTGGCTTTAATCAGGCCATAATTACACATAATTTATCTACGCTGCCATCACGCCGCAGTGCTAATGAGGGGTGGCGCTCTGTGGACGCACACTTAGAAGGAAAATCACGCACTATATATTTTACTGGCTTCGCTCTATTCGGAAGACCATTTATTCCACAACTGAGCCCAGCATTTTCTCATTAATGATCTATTAATAATTAACCACTGACATAATTTTAGTCAACATAGAGCATTTTTTTAATATCTTACACAATACTTCAGATTTATTAGAGTAAAAACTGAAATGATACGACTGCTCTAAGAGGATGTTACTTAAAATTGTAAAGTTTGGATAAGTGATTACAGAAAAAAAATCTTTTTTTATTTTATATGAAATTTATGATGTAAGCAAAAAAGTGATTCACATGCAGTTTTGAAGTTTACTAGGGAGGGCATCTGACATAAAAAACATATTCAACAGAAATTCGGAAATAGCTTTTTAAGTTTAGATAAGCAATTTCAGAACAAAATCATTTTTAAGCCCTTTATATGATGATTTATTTGTTTTATGCAAGTAAAAAAGAGATTCACGTGCAGTGTACAAGGGAAGGTTGCATGAGGGAGGGCATCTGACATAAAAAAATTGGGAATCACTATGATGGAGCCTCAAACAAAGGCATGTACAAAACTTAGTTGTATTCTGACATCTTGACATGACCAGACTGACCAGCTTAGTATAGTAAGCTGTCATAACTTAAGTGCTATGTCTAAACCCTGTCAGTCTCCATCAACACGCCCCATCTCAATCTTGTCAGGTGCACCAGCCCGCTCCTGCCCTCCCGCTCAGGTTTGGGGCCTTAGCATGCACCTGATTGCTCAATCTATCTTTATCTCCCATGTTGAAGCCTACGTCAGAAAGTAAATTGAATATACTAGAGCTGTCTGTTGGTATCTATATTTAATAAAGTACGTTGATGAGGTGCTGATTTATTGCTGGGCAGTATTCACACTCTATTACAAGGAGATTACGCAGCTTGAGCGGGATCAGCCTGGCAACACAGTAAGTAGATTTCACAATTTAATGGCAAAGAGAAAACGGGGGCCACAGGGGGACGGGGGGTTGGGGAGGGGTGAGGAGGAGGGCTGCTCGAAGTGTGTGGGGGTCGGGGGTGGGTGAAAAACAAGACAACATACAAGAGGCGTGGTGTCCTCTTAACGCCGCTAACAACACGCCAGGATGTTGTTGTCTGTCAAGAGCACAGCTGATGAGAAATACAATAAAATGGATATGATAAATGCACACGGCTGTAAACAAGGTTATTACATGGAACGGCTCTGAATGTCAAAAGTAAAAAGGAAAACTGGGACATTGGAATGACACAGGCTTTGACTCTATTTAAATATCATGAATTCTAGCACTAACATGCCAGTGTAAAAATATGTTTTATTTGTGTAGGAGCAAAGCAGCACAGGTGCAGTGTCAATATTTGCTTGGCCCTTTAGCCTTCGCTGAATTCCCAACTGAAAACACTGCAGCCTGAAATGCTGGAAGGGGACCAGGCACACACAAGCTGGGAGCCCATCACAGGGAATAAAGATGAAATTGGTCGCTCTCTCATTTTGAACATTTGAACAGATGATAATTTCATTTAGATGAGCAATGCCTTGAGCATCCATCCACTAAAGGCAGCCATGTTTAAGTGCACAAAATCCAGAAGTGTAAGGACAGAGAAGTCCTGCTTTAAGGCCTGGCCCCAGATGAGAGGTGGCCCCGTGTATATGTCTGTGTGCCTATGTGTGTCAAAGGTTGTTAGCACCTCAGGAGCAACAAGCCATCTGTCAGCGTTCTCTTAACACTGCCTCTAATGACCATGGGCCCCAGGCAAGTCAAGTCTGTTTCATGGAGCTATTTGGAGCAGTGACAAGTGTCTGAACCTCCGCACTACTTATCCATTAATCAAGGCTCTGTCAAAAGTGCTTAAGGACTCTTTTTACAGCTCTGTCTCATATGGCTACATGTTACACCTGATCGTATATACAAAGTTATTTGTGTTCCAAAACAATCTCCTTTGTGATATTTTTATAGGTGCTAAGCAGGCTAACGCTGACGAAGCATAACTCCACACTATCTAATGGACAAATTCCCTCAAAATGACTATAAATATTAGTACAGAACAGAGGGGAATTAAAATCCAATTGAGGGAAGGTAAGTGCCAATTTCCATGACATTTAAATTGTTACATTGGACTTGGGTTATCGGCCCATCTGTCAATGGCCTAATCAATGTGGTCTATTTCATAATGAACTGTTAATCTTTTTAATTCCACTGCCTAAGGCTTCAAAAATCTATCAAAATGTAATCAGCACTTTCCCACTCCACTTGCATGTTCTGGAGCAGATGAGGGGAGAAGTACAGCAGACAGTGAGTGGTGGCTGCCCTGAGGTACCACTGGTGCATAGAGTGTTAGTGCAATGGAGTCTCACTCAACCAGTGAACCGTCTCTGATCAGGTTCAGCCATGTACAACTCAATTATGCAGCCATTTCATGGCCAGAGGACACCGACTGTCCTAATACATGCAGCTGCAAAGGGACACCACAACCACTGTATCCATTGCACCAACTTTCTTCTGTATGTACACACAATCCCATCACGGTATAATCTACTTAAAAACGGGTGATACCAAATTGCATGTGCCACACATTGTCCGTGCACTCAGGACAGGCAATCAGACTTACAGCCTCAGGTTCTGGGTTAAATGATCATTATCAATCCACTGGAAAGACGAGTCCTGTGCTACTCTCTGGGACAAATCTTATTACTGCTCTGATGATATCCACTGTACAATACATACAGCATTAATCTAATCTGATTAACACACTTCTTCATACTGACACACAGTTATATAATAAATGAAAAGACTGATTCTCCAGGATTGTTTACTGTGTAAACTGTTTGTGAAATAAAACCTTGGAAGGGGAGTATTTAATTGTTACAATGACACATGACTCTGACTGCCTACCAATGAGCCTTACATCACCACTGAGCCTTAGATAACCTGTGACAAACATAAGTACCATATGTCTGTGTCTTTACAGCAGTCTATTTTAAAGGAGCACTGTGTAACATTTCTGGTGGAGGGACTTGCTTGTGTCCATAGAGATGTTATTGCTGGATATCCTGGAATATACCCCAGTATGGCATTCAATGTATCTATCTTCTTAGAGAGTCAAGTTACAGGGCAGATCACTGGAAAGGCACACACACTCTCACAATAAGAATGCACGTTTTTCAAAGCTATTTAAAAGCACCTGAAATAAAATCAATGCAAGAAGCACATGTTTATGCCATAGTTCCAGCTGAAGCAATAACATTTTGATGGAGACAAGCAGATGACAAACCCTAATTTTTTTGTTACATAGCGGTCCTTTAATGTACAGAAATATAGGAGGAAACAACAGCCGGGGCACTTGTGTGTCACCTGTGTAATTTTGGGTCAGTCTGAGACTGTGTTATCAGGTCAGTAGTGATCCAGTCCTGAGTAAGCCTCTTGTTTAAACTCTGGCCGTGCTGACGATGCAGGGCCACGGGAGAGATCCCAGCAGTGATCCAAGCAGGGTACAGCGGCACATCCAGGGCTAATCTCCTTACTATCAGATCTGTACTGATTAATAGCCTCCTTCTGAGAAGAACTCTAAAACCTTTTCAGGACAAAATCCACCTGCCTGAGGTCAGATGGAGTCCCTTTTCCAAATAAGTGAGCATTATTTGTGCTGTCTTCTGTTTGAAAGAGTGCACTTCCCTTTGCTGACACTTGTGACTGCCCAATATACTGTATGCTGATGAGAGGTAGAGGTTATGGAGGAGCCACAGAGGGGTGGATTCATTTACTTTGTTACTCCTGTACGCCGGCAGCACTTTAATGTTATAGACTTATGGAGGTCAAGAGCAAGATCAAGCAGAATTTGCCTGGCTTGCAAAAAGAAGGGCTAAACAATGTATCCGGTGTCAAAATCAGAGCAAAAGTCTTGAAAAAAATCTCTGCTGACGTGAGCTGCTGTATCCTTAATTCAACAGGCACTTCTAACCTAACACCTTGTCCATCAGAATGTGTAAGGGCCAAGGAAGAAACATGATTATGTCCATCAATAATTCACTGTGTGTGCACCTGAGGCCGTGTCTGTGTGCATAAGTGTGTGTGCTATGATGGGTTGTTTGATTGGGCAGGAGCCCAACTTTGCCCTAAATCCCCTATGATTACAGCACATGCTGTCTAGTTTAGACAGGGACTTTAGATTGTGGTTTGTATTTCTATGAATCTAAAAATACATGCAGTATGTCAAAATAGTTCATACCTGGGATGTGTTTGGCCCAGCCGATGATGACGACTAACTCGCGGTCTGCCAGGTCACATAGTGTGGTTAGCGCCTTGATGTCGCTCTCTGGCATGGTTGGGTCTGGCATGGCATAGATCTTCTCTGGTTCAGCCACCAGTAAGTGCGATACTATTTTTGTAACTGAGAACAGACAGTGATGGAGAGGGACATCAAAGATATGATATTTTAAAAGCCCAAAATATATATATGTGTGTGTGTGTGTGTGTGTGTGTATATATATATATATATATATATTATATATATTATATATATATATATATATATATATATATATATATATATATATATATATATATATATATGTATATATATATATATAAAATCAAAATGCTGTTGTGTATATACTCCAGATTTAACTAGTATTACTGACAAAGGCATTTACGGTACATTAAAGTACAAAATTGGCCTCTAGCTTAACTTTTCTTTTCTCATATTCCAGCCTTGATCAGAGCTTGGCCTACATTTCTATCCAAAGATGTGAGGGGGGCATGAGTCTGTCCTAGAAGGGTCCTATAGTTTTACCTGCTTGCTGGCCTGGCAGTGGGACGGCGGAGGTGGGAGACAATGGGCAGTACTCACGAGGCTTTTTGGTGGGAGGGGGGAGCGTCAGCCCCAGGTATGGGTTGTTCTCTGTGTCCAGCCTCCGTTTGTACTTCTGTCTGCCCCCTCGCACACGGTCCAGACGCACTCCTGGGGAAGACAAGACACAATAGTAATAAAAAGTAATAAAAAGCTTGTAATAAAAAGGTAATGGCTTATCAGATATATCAACAGTCAAAATTCCGACATCATGATAGGAGAGCATGTAATTCATATCTAATTTAACAACACAATTTCCAATTTCTATCCATTCAGTATAAAAGCATGCTACTAATACTGGCATAATGAAACTATAGGATTTATCTCTCAAAAGTGTATCTAGCTGGATGTGCGAGTGCGTGGACATGTCAGAAGCACGGCTGTCCTCCCATATGTGGTCCATGCCTGGCTAGTCTAGTGTGACACAGCTGAGCCCAGAGCAGGTCTAAACATATGAATATTTAACGCGGGGTCACTGATCTCACAGACTGGCCCTCTAATTATTTAGCTTTTGGGGTGAGGCAGACTGCATACTAATTAGCTGCCACTTACATGCATTTTGGGACGTGTGTTTGTGTGTATGTCCACGCTCAGGGGCTTTGGTATCCACTGCACAATACACCCTGTTTTCTGCTGTCATTCTGCACAGAGATACCTGGGTATTGCTTTCCCATAAAACAGCCTTATTTCACCCCTCTTTCACTGGAGGAGCACCGCAGTCTTATCACGCCCAAGCACACCTAAAGGCCAGGTCCTGCACTGATACTGTAAATGTCAAACCAGCCTCATCATAACATAAGTTATTTATTATCTCATTATTTGATAAGGATGTTTCCATTTGGATGTCTTTTCTCTTGTATTAATTTTCAACATTGTTAAAATATGTCTTCTGTGTTGTTCTGTTTATTTGATACCACAAGGCAGGTATTTTGTTATTTAATGTAATACTATGCAAATGTGTCTATCCCGGACCTCCATATTTGACAGTACAGCTTCAGTGCAGCCTGATATCTTAATCCTGTCAAGAGGGAGAATCCTTTTCAATTTGCCGTGTGTGCATAATGTAACCTCCTAAACAAATTGTATACTAAAGGGTGGATGAGAGAAGCCTGAGTGTAATGCTGCTGGTGGAGGAAGAGTTAATTTGTCAGCGTCCTGTGTCCTCTGAGCGAGAGACAGGCGCAGCCACAGCACTTCCTTGATGGTTTCATCACTTTATAACAGGGAGAATGGTGTCAAACCTGGGCATTGTGTAGCCACTGCAAATGAGCCTAATACAATTTGGCCATCAGCGAGTGCTCTTGGAATGGATGAGTTTGGATATGTCCCATGCACTGGATAGAGGTCGCACAGTACGGCACGAGAGCAGTGGGGACAGAGCGGACACAGAGCAGTACTGTGCATTGAGACTCACAAATATTGTAGGTCAATGCAATGATTTGAGCTAACTTTTACTAATATACACCCAATGCTATGTAACAGAGGAGGTTTCTTACAGTAACAAAAATTATTTGATTCCCTTGAAACACAAATCTGATTAGAATTGTCTTTCAATTTCCTGACACTGACAACCCACTAACCCAATTATGCCCAATTCCCAACTGAGTCTTTCCAGCAAGAAGTAGAGAGTGAGCTCCCTGTACACAAGTACACATCCAAGTATAACAGAAAACTATTATTACAAAACTTTGGATGAAATATACTTTTGTGTATATGTTATTTCTATAATCTTCTGCTTAGTCTGAATGATTATAAAGTTATAATCAGGAGACTGTACACAGTCTTCTCAATATCTTGTGTCCTCACGGCTCCCTTCACCTGGTGAAGTCACTGGGCTATGTGAGCCCAGTGCAAAGCCATTGCTGAAGGTAGATTGGTGCCTCTTTTAATTAGAACAGTCCTGGTCATAATTAACAGATGCTGACAGGAATTAAAGCCTGGCACTAACCTGTCTCATTTTACTGCCGGACAGGGCACACACACTGAGGAGGAATGACTGATTAAAGCAGAGGCAGATTCATTGACTGGTGCTGCCGCGCGCCATGGCCAGGCTTTTAAAGAAGTCTTTGTGAGGTTCAGATGTCCCTTTGTTGGCTCGCGCAGCTTTAAGTGATTTGACTCTGAGTGGTTGGCTCCCTCCAGAGTAAACAGTAGGTGTCTTATAAATGTGTGAAAAGAGTGGCGTACCACTTGATGTCAGTGCTTTATGGGCCGCTACAGTGTGACCAGGAGAGCAGCCTGGGCTCGGGTGTCATGTCTTCAAAGCAGGCTGCAGGGACAGAGGGCTTGTGGCCAAGGCGGCTGGCATTTATGCACGGATTATCACTGGCCCAGGGCGGGGGCTAGGGCCAGCTGACCCCGAGCTCTCCTTTCTCTCCAAAAACAATAATAATCCCCTTCCAAGCACTAGCCTACAAAAGGGGCTGTCTTCACTCACTTTGTGCGGCCGACCGCAGTAGGGGTCCTTATTTTGAGTCTCTCACCTGTTCTGATGTCTCTCCCTGGGGAAAGTGTCAGGATGTCTGGGATGGTTGGCAATGCCAAAGGGGGCTTAGGCAGACCCTATTTTAGCTGGGAAAATCAGAAGGCCACAAGGCAAGGCATGGTGAACCTTGCCTTTCAAGGAAGCCGCCCACTAAACTGCCATCAGCACTATTTCAAAAGGCCCCTCTTACCAGCTTTGCATGCTTGAAGTGTGTCACAGCATTTTTAATCATGTTGGGTGATGAGCAAGGAGAGTGGAAAAATGGTCACGCATTGCATCGCGCTTCACCTGCTGACCCTGGGCTGCCAGAGTGACCCCTCTGGCACATGCTCCACTTACAGGTTTGCCACACAACGCTCCGTGAACAACATCCTTGTTCAGGACACAATATAATTAGTCTCTGGAAGTCATATGCGTGCGATGCCCAAATCTGTATAGTCAGAATACTGCGCTGTGTGAGGCGGCAGGCTCTGTGCAGTAAGGGATAAAGGAAGTAGGTTCAGTGTAAGTGCCTCTGAATGATGTCAATGTAATCTCTCAATACTATCTTGTCTTCTCTCTCACTCTAAGCTCTGATCCGTTTCCATTGATCAGAGGAAAAACCTGTTGCCCCTGACATTTGATTCTTCTATTGATCACTTCCTCTTTTATACAGTCAGGATAGTACAGCCACTCCTCCAAGAGACTGCTCTTTATCTTGAATTGTTTACCAGAGAGTAATGCACTTAAAGAGGGGGTATTTTACTTCTATGAGGTATTAACTTCTAACACAACATATTTAGATCACCATGTTACCTTTTATTGTTTTGAAAATAGTATATTTGTGGTATATATTTGGCAAAAAACAATGTATTAACATGTTTTATGAGTTTCACTTTCTTTTTTGAAAGTGAAACTTTCCCTGCTCCCTGTATTAACTCTATCACAACACAGTGTACATTTTACTAAAGAAACTAGTGCACATCACAGGTTTGTGAAGTTGCTCATGTATCATGTTTTGTACATTTAAGGAGCACAACATCTTACAGCTAAGTGTAAGGAGAGTTCAAATAGGGCCCGGGAGAAATCGCTAAAATACTCGTGCATGGATGACATCTAAAACTTCTTCCGTCATGTTTCTGATGAGGAAACAGCATTATAACATGGTAGAAAGCTGAAAATTTTGCATAATATTGTCTCTTAATGTTAATACTACACTTGCATATTCCTCATTTCACTGCTTTATTTCCCTTCTTCACTTTCTCCATATAAAACATATGGGAGCAGTGTGAGGTGACAGAGCTTTTTCTGTGGCAGCGCCCAGACTATGGAATTGCCTTCCTCTTGCTGTCAGATCCTCTCAGTCTGTAACGCAGTTTAAGACAAGACTGAAAACTCACCTCTTCTCCCTGGCATTTAGTACGAGCTAGTCAGGTTATCTTGGTAGTTTTAACATGTTTTCTGTATATTTGTATATGTAACTGTTTCTTCTATGCTGTTGCTGTTGACTTGTATGTGAAGCACTTTGGTCAACTGAAGTTGTTTTAAATGTGCTATATAAATAAATTTGAATTGAATTGAATTGAGTGTTATACTCCAATGTTTCTGTAAATTTAAAATAGGACATCTTCCATTGAGACACAACGTGACCTTTCTGCAGTAACATGGGTCACATGGGCGCATGAACAACACTATTTCATTTGAAGCTATGCTCGCTGAATGTAAGGAAAAGGTAAGGAACAATTACAACAGCGTGAGGGAGTCCAGCTCCATGTAAAACGGGGTCATTCTTATTCTCTCACTCTACTGTTGAATACACAGAAGAGTGCAGAATTGACTGGACTAAGCATATTTGACTTTTACACCCTTTATACGCTCACCTGACACTGGTCATTCATTTATAGCCACGATTACATATTTTTGTAGTCTCTTCTTCTCTGAGATGATATATTGGCATACATTTTTCATCAGATAGTAATGTGATTACTCCATCTTTCTGGCACCGCAGCTTTATCTGGCTGCAGGGGATTCTATTACTGTCTGACAATCCACATGGGCTAAGGCTCCTACTTTTGGTGTGGATTCAATAGATATATAGGGGGACAGAAGCATAATAATATTAATCCTTTTGCATTAAGTAAATTATTTACAAGTAAACAATTTCACAACGGGAAAGGTCTCATATAAGGATCAAATAATTTTAGGGAAGATGTAAAATGCGGCATGTTAGCCGAATCAAACAAAAAGTCAGACTGCTTCATCAGTGGAAAGGATAAACATATTTTCAAAGAGTGTCACATCTCTAAGTATGCTCTAAGCATGTGGCCCATAACAACTTAAAGAAGCAAAAAACAACAAATTCTCTTTGCACTCCCATAGGAGGTTTGAATAAATGTAATAACACCACTTAACCCCAAGCCACACATCTTTCATTATTCATTTCTCCAGGCTTTTTGACAGGAGCAGACAGTGCGTCAGAGTGAGACTGCTGAAAAACCACTAGTGCAATGCTATCTGTATCTGGTGAAAGAGAAGGGAGAGGTGCTTCCTCGAGGTCTCCAGGGGTTTCAGGGCCATGTGGACAGAGGAGGAGGGCAGCCAGACAAATCCATCGGAAGCATGTTTAATTGTCACAGAATTCCCTGTTGGTGTGACTTTAAAAAAACATCCACAGGAAGAGAGCTGGGATGTTCAGAAAAACATTTAGCGGATCAATATGCCGAGGAGAGCTGAGACTGGTGTGTGTGCTGGGGGACCTGGCCTGAGCCCTTCCAGAAGGACTACGGTTACATTTCTATTACTCAGACGAAGCCATCAACCTATTCAGCGTTTCTCTGTCCCCAGCTCAACTGCACATTATTTACCGCTGTGGTGCTAGTGGGAGGACAGACAGTGCCTAGGCCAAGTCACGGTACAGATGCAGTAATGAGATCCAAATCTCATGGTACAGTATTACCTGGTATTAAATGCTTTAATATTTATTGTGGTGATGCTCACAGTATTACAAATATGCTCCATAATCTTCCATGATATTTCAAAACTTCATTTTAACTGTGCGTATTTTACAAATGCACTGCCACCAATCAATACTTTTTAAACCCAGGAGCTTATAAATTCATGATAATATTGTGAGACTCATGTTGAAATTAGATTATTACATTATTACATTATTACATTATTACAAACTATACACCCCTGTATGGTGGTAGTAAAAAACTGTTCTTACCTTCTTTTAGCATCCCCACTTTTAGGCATTTCATGAAGCGACAAGCCTGACATGATTTGCGTCTTCTTTTTGTGATCTCACACTCATTTGTTGCCGGACAGCTGTATTCTATGTTACCTGTGAGTAAATGAGAAATAAGTCTGAAAAAATCTGACAAGGACATCAAACAATATATTTGATGTTTATCATTTTATATGACATTTGTATGTTGTTTTGAAATGTATGTTGTTTTGAAATGTGTAATTCAGTTTTTTGTTTTTACTATTTAAATCCTGCCCTACGTAATTTCTACATAAAGCAAGTTGATCCAACATCTAGAATCGAGTATATAAAAGCAGCAAAACAATAAAGATATGCAGAGATTATAATTCAATGGACATACATATATGTATGTAGTAAGTATATATGTCTTTCCACATAGTTTCAGCATTTTGCTAACATGTAACAACTATCCTACTACAAGAGAGAGACAAAACATAACTTCGTAGATGAACGTCTAAAACCTTGCAATCCCCTCAGTGTACAGCAATACTCTTCATGTATTCTGTGCTTGTCCAGTCCCTCTCCTGTAGCCTCCACTCTGACGATACAGCTAAAGCCACAATAGACGGACATGCGCCTCTGACCATTTTACATAATACTGAGGCAAACCCAAACCTGTTGTTACCGCTGTTGCCATTGTTGACTATTTACATAGAGCAGCGGCGAGGGCCCTAATGCATTATTCAGCTGCAACGTCTGACTCCAATGAAAAAGAGTTTCATTGCTCCACAATAAAAGAGCTGTCTCTGGTGCACCCCGCATTAGTAATAGGCACAGAGATTCTTCCGCTGCTGTCTGATTCCCTACATTTCTCTCAGTTCAGGCCTTTTCAATAAAGGGATTCTATATAATGGATGCTTCAGCATAGGACTTTGAATTATCCACCTTTTCAATCGGCTTTGAGATATAAGGCTTTTGACATTGGTATTTCTTAGGCTTTAGTATTTCTTAGTGTATTATGAAATTAAGGTGTAAGCTATACTGATTATACTTTGCATTACCATAAAAGGATTGCTCAACAAAATAATAAAGTTTCAATGTGTGTATACAAAACCTGCCTTAGCCAAATTTGTTACATAGTGTGATGGTTGCATACATTAGAAGTAACAGAAAGCCCAGTGATATTAAACTGGCATCTCTCGACAAGCCCACCAACATCCTCTGACAACTTATGCAATTATGTTAACAATATTGGACAGATCAAGTCGGGGGTCCCAAGCTGTTATAAATAATTAGAAATTCCAGCTTATATCTGAGATAGAAATCATTATGCTAATTCCTCTCATCTCGTTGGGATTGGGGTAAATAAAGGTGTGAGGGAAGAGGCTGATGAGCTCTGATTGGCTTTCTCTCTGTTGTTACAGACTAAAGTGAACATAATAATGGTGCCATCATTGGAGAGCAATATAAACATTACAATAATAAACAGCAGCTACTAGATGTCAACAGTTCATTTAATGTCAGATTACTCATGTCAGTGCTGGTGCTGCACTGTTTTGTTTTGTATTAACATTGTTGGATGCCAAAGCTTTAAAGGTGCACTATGTAACTTTTCTGGCAGTCCACACCTGCAGTTACAGTTACAGGCGTTTTTGTTGTAAAAAATACGTTGCACACTTGGTATGAGAGGGCTTGCCTCTCCACGGATTTGCCCTGTAAGTTGGTCCTGTGAAGTCACCTAGTTGTGTCCATGGAGACAGTTAAATGTGGAACATTCCATATGACACACTAACATCCCAAGCAGGTGGACCCCTTCATTGGGAAAGCTACATAGTGTTCGTTTGAGCTTTAAATACTGTTTCATCAGACCAGTTGAGACCATACAATCCCCAGGACTTCCTGAAATAACAATATGGCCGCTGTGTGCTTATCCGTGTGCTAGAGGTTATGCTATGGTTACCAATAACCTAATTGTGAAAAAAGAAGAAAAAGATTTCCCTCCTTCTTTTCTTGATAAGTATCTGTCTCAATCTATTTTATGGCTTCTCAGGACCCATGCCAGGGCACAAGGGGGAAAGTCAGGTCTTGTAAGTAAATTACACTAAAATGGCAGGTATTTCTCATCAAAATCTAAAGTGACTTTTACAGGCTTTCTGTCAAGGTCTATTACTTCATATAAAAGAAGGCCAAGGAGTTCAGTTGCTTTCAAGCAATTTTACACTTGGGTTCAAAATGGGAAGAAAACACGCTCCCATGTTTTTGATTGGTGGCACACAAGAAGTGCAGGGATGGGGCTATGATTGGGGAGCGGCCAGAGTGCAGGTACATCCAGGATGGATGGGCATCAGGGCTGACATTAATTTGAACCTGGCCTTGACTAATGTAACTATCCTCATGTGAGGGGTCAAGGGGCATTGGCTGAATGAATAAGTGCTAGAAGATGGATATTCACTGTATCTCTGCTGAAAAGGAAAGGACAGGTGGATGAACCAGAAACCCAAGTTACACTGAAGTACTTAATGCTGCTTCTTAAGAGTCTTCCAACACTGTGTTAATGACTGATTTGTTGTCATTACAGAGACTTGTCTGTAACTCCACCCTGGACGACTTTGTTATTCCTTTAATGAATCTCTTCTCATCAGCAGCACTCTCCTCCCTTCAAGAACACTCTATTTAACTGTTCATTTTTCTTCCTTTCATCAGTTTTGTAAGGCTTACACCTCCCCCAAATAGGGCCTGTGTCCTCCTGCCTTCCTTGTCTGGGACCCTGGTCTGATTATTATGCCATTAAGCCTCTCCTGCTCTCCTCTGAAGCAGCAGCAGGGTCCCTCTCCAATCTAAAGAAGTCTTGGGTTTTTTCCCCTCCTTTCCCTGAAATTACCCGGCGACGCGTGCCTGAGTTTCTAATTGGCATGGCCGTCCCTGGAGACAGCCCCCTCCCTTCCTCCTAATGAAAAGCCTCGGCCTTAATTACACTTTCCAAACGCTGATTGTTATTGACAAAACTCCTGTGGCTCGGACAAACGACGGCAGATTAGCTCCATTACAGGCAGCCCTCCAAGAAGAAAAAGAGACGGATTTTGAATCGACAATACACAGTGTGGGGGAGCTTTCTATGTTTTTCCTGTGTACCTTTTACTTTATTGTTTGGCCTTTTACTTTATTGTTTGGCCGTAGCTTAAGTACTTTCTTTTTTCTACCATTGTAATGCCATCAGTGTACGATGAGAGAGGAAACAAAGGCCTTGTTATGTTACTTGAGTCTGAGAGAAAAGGCTCATCTTTTTTCAATAGAGGATTGCTGATGGCAGCATGAGCAAACATGAGGATTTGGCCTAATGCTTGTGTTTGTCTGCAAAAGGTACATAGACTGTCTAAAGCTGATAGGGCCATCAGGGCCAAAATCAACACTTATCAGGGAGAAAGGCCAAACATTATCTGTTCATAAAGATTTCCTGAAAATACTGAAGGACATGTGCTGGGCTTGTGAAACTCTTGGTTCATGTAACAACTCGGTTTGGTGTTTTGTAGTTAGCTCCCAACAGCTGCTATGGAGCTTATACTCCAAACGCAACAGCCTCAGTCTTCCAGATGACTCAGTGGGGCCTCTCTAATAAAAGGCTGTTAAGCATCATGTCTCACAGATAGACAGTCACACTCTTGTCCGAAGACACTAAACAAGGCAGGGAAGACAGGGATAAAAGGTTCCCTCTGCACTACATCTGTCCTGACCTAAGAGATAGATCCACTTACACACACTGTTACTATTTATTCTATTAATTGACTTTTTGCTGTGGGGTGTTTGTATGTGTGTGCATTGACTTTCTCATATAATAAAGTATACCTTGTATTGTCCTTTTAAAAAAGGCTTTGCAGGCCTCACATGAGGCCACCCCGTAGTGATACCCAGAGGCTATATCTCCACAGACCAAACACAGCCTCTTGGGAAGGGAGTTCAACATGTATTCGCATTTAATAGAGGAGTCCTCCATGATGGTGCTGGAGCAGTCATCGTAACGTTTGCGGCAGGATCCTGGGCCGAGGCCACCAGGGGTGAACATGGGAGGAGAGTCCAGGCCGTTGGAGTGGTTCATGGTGCTCACATAGCCCCCACTGGCGTCCGAGTTGCCACTGGGGCTGTGATGGCTGACGGTGTCGATGACTGAGGAGGGGCTAGATGGCTCTGTCTTGATGTAGGACCCACAACTGGAAGGCAGGTGCCGGTCATCAGCAGCCATTCTATTCAACAGCCTGTGGAGAGGGGGACAAGAGAGAATAGATAGAAAAACTTAAAATTTCTATTGTAAAGTAACACATTTACCATTGAAAGTAGTTAAGTGATATTTTGCATTTGAAATGGATTCATTCATGTGTGTTGATCTGTAGAATTGTTGTAAGACAGTTCTTTTTCATTGTACATCACTCCGTCTCCTGTATTTCCATTAAGGCATTTGTTCAAAGTATCACATTAGCCACTCACCACAGTAGCTGCACAGGGTCTGTGTTAATGTTATCAAACTTTTAAAAATACATCATGCATATTGCATAATCAAATTTATTATGATGATGAAATCAATAAAATACTATGTCAGGTCATGACATGTTTTTGTATGCTGGACTATGATGCTTACTGTATTGAGTGGACTTGAAAATTCCCTGATACCTCCTCTGCCCATCTGAATGTATTGAAGTCTTGCTCCATAACCTTTAATTCAAATTTGGGGAGAACAACTTAGCAATCTAGCCAGGTCTAATTTTACAGCAGTGGACTGGCAGAGGAGATGGATAACTCAATGTATTGGAGATGTGGTGTAGACACACTGACCTGTTAGGGTCAAGGCAAGGTTACACATGAACATATAGACACTCTTCTTTGCATTGGTTACTGTGGAACAGGTCAAAGGTCCCCTGCACTTGCCTGCATTAACAAAATTGAGCCTTGTGTGGCTTATGCAAATACAGGCACAGCAGCTCCTAGTGAGTGGCAGCTAGTCAGACCAACTTGTGCCTTACAGCATTAGCGCCATTAGCATATTGCCAGCTAATGCTAATGTTTACACATTTGACATGTGAGTTTAGCATCAGCACAGGGATGTTCACGCTTTCTGGCTGATTGGATGATAGCTGTCTGTCACAGAGCACCTGAGAGGAGCCTCTGGCCTGTCCCCTATTGGTCCATCGGAGTATCTCCTGCTCTAGGCTGATTTAATTGTAAGGGTGTGTGACGGAGGGGTTCAGGCCCAGGGGTCACAGGGTCAACCTTATTTTCTCACCCTGCCTCGCTGGGCCTGTGGAGATAGGGGTCAGCATGTCAAATTAGATCTCATTCCCGGGTTTCCCTCCCTGCTGTCATGTATATTCATCTGAGCTCCAGGTGCCACCACTTCTAGAAATTCTGAAAAAGGTTAACAGCTAAAATAAATAATAAAAATGGCCCCTGTTAAAACTGTTGACCTTGTGGAGTCAGTCTTTGGTCTGAACAATCTATAAAATCAACCACAAAATCTGGTTAATAATAAAAAAGAGACTAAATATAATTTTATAAAGCAAAATACAAAAGTAAAATACTAAACTTGTCTTTTTTCATTGTAAAATGTTTAATCCTACACTAAGTTGTACTTAGTAAAAGTGTACTTTCTTGGGCAATAGTCAAGTATAGTTCAACAAGACACACTCTGATGAATACCTACCAATAAGTCACCTAAAAAAGAGTGTGGCATGCATCTGACCAATGTGCTTACAAAACAAGAAAAAAATTCAATACCAAACCTCCAGCTAACTCGCTCCATGCCTTCTCATTTTTTTGCTGTAGTTTATAAAATCCTTTCTATCCTATGAAATCCTTTCCAATAAAATGAATAGTTGAGAAATCTAAATTTTAGCCTAATAGGACACCAACGACCAATTAAAAGACCAAACGAATAAACCTTGCAGCTCCACCTTCTCTTTTTGAGATCCTTGAAGAACGACATTGAAAAAAGGAAGTGTAATTTATGCTTGTCTAAAAAAAAAGATTGTGGATAATAAATGCACCAAATGCATGTGTGCAAATGAATGTGTGGTTCTGTGTTCATCTGCTTTATGTTCCAGATTTTAGATGAATATGTGCACCTGTGCAAAAGGGCACCTGCACTTGGCTTATTAAAGGCCATATATTAAAACGTAGCAGAAGAAGATGGCTCCATTTAGCTTTTATTTCACAAATTCAGAGTAAGCTTAACCCTGGTTCAAAGGCCATCCTCAGGGTGACACTTAGCATAATTGCATAAGTGTCTTAACTGTTTCCCCTCCGGCTCTATGTGGTCATTTATAATAAATGTGTGAGCGCGGTTCCCTTAACTCATTCTGCTCTGACACATTATACTGTGACTATGCTTATGTTTTTAACAAGCTGCATACACTGATTAATGATATGAGGGCAGTACTAACCACTTGAAGCAAAGTTATTAATCAAACAGACTACAACAATTCTATAAATATTCGTAATCTCTAATGGGCCAGGTCTAATTTAAATCTATAACTACAACTGTATATGAAAATGAATCATGAACATTAAATAGTATGACAGCAGCAATGGTCCTAATAAATAATTCAATGTGTGGACCACATGCTAATTAGCTTGTGTGCTACAGAGGACATGCTGGAAAAGGTGTGCTGAAATAACTGAGACCTAATGCTTTAAAATCTATAGTTCTTTGTGTCTTCTTTTCTTCCTCAAGAGCATTTCAAATTGTGCTGTCTGCTGCCCAAAGGAGCGCTGCTCGTCTAAGATACACTATCTCCCTTTCTCTCTTTTCTCCTCTGTTCTCCCTCCTTTTGTTCCCTTTGTACCGATCAAAATTCATGCTGAGTAGTGGGTTATGGGCCTGCAATCGCACACTGTGCAGTTTGGTTTTAATTTGATTCCACCTGGCCCTCCTAACTGCATTTCAGATCCCTAATATCATTCCAGTGGTGCTGCTGTGACCAGGATTAGGCGGCCTAATGATCCGCCCGCTCGTCTCACACTCCTCTTCACTTCCTGAACAGAACTGAGAGCTCCTGTCCCTCATGTCTCAGCACTTCCTCACAGTGAACACTAGACCACAGTACTGTGAGAACATGCTACATCCGGGGCCTAATTGGCTCGATTTGTAGGTATTCCCTCTGTGCGGCGTGCACATCCACTGCTGCTCTTTGGGTAAGTACAGGCCTCTCCCTGGCGACTCCTGTGTACCAGCACAGGTGAGGGGGATGCAGACGCTAGAGAGAGTCCCGAACAGTGGGTGCTGTAAAACCAGTGGCCCAAGATTCAGCGCTTCTAGGACCAAGTCAATTACCTCCTGACAGACGTGCTCTCAGCGCAGACAGCCTCTGTATGGCCGACATTTAGCTGCCACGCTGACCCTTTTCTCAGGGGCCACTGTCACACCGCACTGATGGACAGAGCACAGCAAACCAACTCTAACCAAAGTAATACCTCCAGACTGAGGTGTGTCACAGGCCGTGAGGAGAGAGAGCTCTCTCGGGAAATGTAAATGCTATGGATGTGGGGTCCAGCGCGCCCTGGGAAAAAGGGGGAAATTGAGGTTCAGACACTCGGCTGAAATATGGAGGACGCCTGGTACCAGGTTAATGACTGTAGAGGGAATAAAGGCTGTGGCCTCTGGAGAGGACACACATGTCCCTGTGCTGCACTGGCTCACTGCACATGGGCGTGAGCGTTTAGGAGTCACAGACACAAACACACAGATCTATGGGGAAAGGGGGTGAAGGCTGTGGTTTGGTTGGAGGCAATCCCCACTCTCCACAGGGACCCATGTTAATCTATGAGGGAGAGGCCCCTAATTTTAAAGAGTTTCCCATTCATTAGTCCTGCTCTGCAAAGAGAGCCTACCTTAGGGGGAGGGCCTTTTATTAACAGATATGCCAGACACTGAAGAGAAGTGGACAGAGATGAATGATGTGGCGATATGCGGAGGCAAACAAAAGCCAGTCCAGAAGACATGGAATAGGTAAAAAAGGAAGCAGGCAGTAAGTGATACATTAGGGCACAAACACAGAGTGAGTGTCCCGCGTACCTACCACTGGAGGCCAGAGCCTGGATCAATAGCCCGTAGGCTAGGGGCTAGTGCCGGGTTACCACTGGGGGACCAGGCTGCTCTGTGGCTTGGGCAATTAAGTTTTTCAGTCTGCCGCAGAGTATTATATTTAGCTTTAGCCCAGCGAGCCGCAGTGGTCTTTATAAAGCCATGAGCTCACTCCACTACAACAACATGAGCCTGCGCTCCAGCAGCTCCAGAACAGATCACATCTATTGATCCGCTCCTCTTCCTGTTGAGAGCGGCCCTGGCAGCAGCCTCTGGCAGCACAGCGGCTGTGGGCCTGACGTAAACTGTCTGGGCCGCTCGGGGCAGATCCAGTTCTGACAACGGGCTCACTTCAGGAAGTAAAGAGCACATGCCCATTGTCAAGGGGCACAGCCGCCACCAAAACAGATCAGCTTTCTCACAGTCAAAAAGAACATTTCTTCATGGAACATATATATTCCACATGTGTTTTACACACAGCAAAAAGTTTCTTAAAAGCCTAATTTTTTTGCAGTCTTCTAATATTATGAGTAAATACTGGCATAAAGCGAATGACATCAGACACAAAGTTGTCCTGTAATGTAACTGATCCACTGGCGCCGATATCAGAGTACAGTCTCAATAATACGAAGAAACTCACTGCGGTACACTCACTGACAGTCTCTTTTCTAAACATGAGTGCTCCATAGAATATATACTATAGCCTAGTGCGTATTGCAGGTGTGGACACAATGGATGGAGGCATAAAGTCATGCATGAAATTACTTCATTAATCTTTCCTTATGGGGAATCACTACCTGCTTAAGACAAAGAGCCTGTCCCATTTGTGCCATAAATTATCCTGTTCATTAAAAAAGCTCAATACAAACAAACACAGACATACATGAAAATGAGAATGAAGAGGCAAAAAAGCACAGGTTTATCAGGGACGCTGGAGCATCTCAACACAATCCACAGAGCAAATGTTTGTTCTGTCTCTTAGTCTGCGTGCAGGACTCGCTCAGCGCTGAGATTCAAACCACTCAAGAGGGGCTCAAGGAGTTTGGACTAATATTTAATTGCGTTTCGTTGTTTATTTTAACATGTATTCCAATTGCAGCAAGATGTTTTTAAGAGCTCAATTTATTGTACACATTTTAAACATGTCCAGGACCATTTACATTTGACGATGTAGAGATCAACTGAACTAAAACAAGAATTCCACTTTTTCACAATATTCATAGAGCCCAGCAGATTTCATAACTGCAGCTTCTGTGATTTGATAATTGCACCCATTCAAATCTCGACTTTGTTTTGATTACCATCTTTCAGCCCTAACTTGGAGCGTCGTGATGCTGGGATGTTCTGTTCACCGCTAGCACTGTTGTTACGAGTGCATGTGGCTGAGCAGACATAGCACTAGCCCCCAGCTTCATACAGGCCGCTCATCTGCACCAGCTGTCACACTTTGCCCATAAATAGTGCTGCTGATAAAAGGGAGGAGCTAACTTTGATTTATACTGGCTTCCCCCCATACACTGTCATTATTCTGAAATAATAAAACTTGGGTTTATGCAAGTCTGCCAACATAGACCAAAAAGAATAGATAGCTAGCTACCAGTCAGAGCAGAGAGGGGTGCTCTATGGGTGCCACTCGTGCCAGGCCCAGAGAGGAGACTTGGTGAAGCTGTCAGTGATAATCACAGCTGCTATTGCAACGGACCGTTTCAATATTGATTTCATAAATAAACAAAGCTAACCATCGATCCTAACGTTATTTTGCATTTCAATTACTGCTCTGAAACATAGCTTTCTAACAATGGGCCGCTCAATACCAATAAGCTTTTCTGATAAACAGCTGTACAGTTATCCAGCCTACTTCACATTTTCATGTGTGAGAACTACAGTGTAAATGTGAAATTAATGAACGACTGCATCATAACAAACAGAGAAAGACCACATACCATTACACCCCCCCCCCCCACACACACACACATACATACACAATCTAATACTAATCTGCTGCGGTGAGTGGCACAGAATTTACAGTTTGGTTATGACGATTAGTGCACCTCCATAAGGGCAGGAAAGCTTATATACGGCTGTATTATCCTTACACAATAATGGAGCTGATTATTAATATCTTTTATAGAAGTGCTTACTTTCTTCTTGTAATTTGATTTGTTTTGTTTAGATTCTATCTCTGTGAGATGAACCTGCTGTCAGTAAAAGTTTGAGTTATTAGTTTATTGTACAAGTTTTGAGTTTATCTATCTTGCACTTACTTTGTTGAGATAGGAATTTACAAAGTGCACTTATAGTGTGTAAAAGTACTAAATGCCACCTAAAAAAATTACCTAAAATGTATTGAAGAGAATGCATTGAGCATCACAAATGTGGACATCCTGTCTGTGCATCCCTTTGGCCTGCAGTAAGATAACATGCTCCCCTCCCCCACACAGAGGCTGAGTGACATATTTACAGGAAAAGTAATGATACTAGATACCAGAAATGAGAGGGCTCCAGCGTGGCCAGGGGACGCAGGAATCTCTCTAATGAATTGGACAAAGCCCTGTTGGTACAAGGAACAAGGTTTCAGAATGGAGTTAAACTCAGTGTAAAACATGTTTCTGATGATAGTCCCATCCCAACTCAGAATAGAGAATATGTGGGAGTGGGACGACTGGACAGTCCACCACAGGCCCATAGCGGCGTGGTCATGCTCGGCCAGGAGCCTCTTCTGGTAATGTATTCTGAAACCAAATTACCGTAAGCTGATCCCATCTGGATAGTGTCTGTGCACGGCTGCTTTGGTTACCCACCGCTGCCTCCAGCCCGTGATAGCATCTCCATGAAGACAGCAAAAATCTGATTACCCCAATAACAATGAAACACTTGGTCAAAGAGCAAAGAGCTTTTAACTTAAGATACACTAATGCAATTCCCGCGCCTTGTTTTCTGAAACCTAATAAGAATGAGGCGGGCAAAGCGTTTGCAGCCTCTAAAGTAGCAGACCGGGAATGAAGTCAAACAAATTGAAATCTAATTCATCAACGTGTGCTCACTGTTTTCTGCCCATCTAACAAATACATGAAAACGCTTTTATTTGATGAAAGGAAAATGAAAAGCCTGTAGTTTAAAGTAGTCATGTTTAAGTTATGATAAAATAAATGAGCAGAAGGAGTCTCATTTCTGGAGACTAATGTTTTCTAAAATGACAAAGCTTTACAGACTCAACACCCAATGCATGCTGACAGCTCAAACAATTACACAACAATAAAACAGATAGAGCCCTTATGCAAAGTTACAATAAAGAGGAACAATGTGTAAAAGTTGTATTTATGTTTGTAATTTGAGTGTTAGGAACTAAAGCAAAGATTGTCAGGCGTTAGGGAAGCCCTAGGGTCAGCCTATAGAGTGCACACTACAACGGTGCTGTGCTAATTACATGGAGCGCATTCGTCCCACTAATCCTCTCAGACAAGAGGGGCCGGACAGAGGGGCAGGACGGAGGGGCAAACAGAGCAGAGAGGAGAGAGGGCAGGTGATAGCAAAGAACAGCTCACTCAGGCCAGCGCTGGAGAGCTCTCCCCAGTCACATCACAGCACGCGCACAGTCAGTCAAATCAAAAGGATTTGGTTTGGAGAGTTTGGGAGATTGTTACTTATGTTAAAATAAAATGTTACCAATAAACAAATCAATCTGCTTTCCTTGTGCTGCATGGCTAATTTAAATAAGGTCCTTCAAGATCAAATTCATGAAACACTTTGTAAAGTAAAAAACACTGCCTTGAGACTATAGATGAACTGATTATATTAGTAATTGTATGAATTGTATACTAATAATTGTATAAAGTAGTATAAAATGTCTATGCATAAAAGGTATAAACTGGGAAGATTTTTTTTCATAAAATTAGAAACTTATAATATAAATATTAGTATAATATAACAGCTAGAGTATTCATAATTTGTGTATATGTTTGCATTTTTACCAAATATTTTAGGCTATATTCCAAGTAAATCAATTAAGACAAGGGAGTGCAATGTTTTGTTTTTTTAATGTTTGAGAATTTAACCTCACTGAATAATTACGTATAATGTAGTGTGTATTTATATAAAAAAAACCTGCATTTGAATAAAACATAACAAACGGTTAATGCAATATGACTTATATGACAACCACAAAAAGGTCTGATCAAAAAGGAATTTGATTTAACATAGAAGCGGTGCAATACAAGTTTGGAAAACTCTCTGAATTTCTGAAATGATGTGCATTTGGTTTGAGTAGTAATGTATTTTAAGTAATATTACAAAATAGAAAAAAATTTCAAGCTAGGAATATGCAGTAGTGTGTTTAGTAATAAAGATTAAAGAAATGTTAGAAGTACACGCACATTTAAAAATATTTCAGGCTTATGTCAAGAACAGTTAAAACGCGTTTGAGTAACACAATTACAAGAACAAAAAAAAGAATAATTTTTAAGAGCAAGAGCACAAGATTAGCCTCAATTTCTGAAAAAAAAAAAATGTATAAATAAATTTAGACCAATCAAATAAAATAATGACATTAATTGTTATAATCATAATATTGTTGTGTTAAAAAATCATGACTATATTTGCATTTGGTTTAATCATATTTTTACTTGCCTCACTTAAAAGCCAAGTGGAAAACTGTCATGTTGAAACAGTGATTCAGTGTTTTATTTTCATAAAATAAATACGAGTTTAGTTCTGGAGCACAGTCCCAACTGCAGCCGCTGTGTTAACTCCCTGCACTCTGCACTTACATTAACATTTAGCCCTGTTTTTGGATATACATTTACTTAAATAAATAAATGTAATATCAATATAATTTTACTCTGACTCAATACAACAGAGCAACTAAAAGAGACATCAACACACACACCGTTATCCTAACAAGACAGGTACCTCAACCTCTTTGGAAAATATCCCCTTCTGCTTCAGGGCATGCAAAATCAATTGGCCATGCTCTGAATAAAATTTAGAATAGAGGAAATGTCATCAGTAAAAGACCATGCTACACACTGCCCTGGACGGTGTAGTATATAAAAGAGAAAAAGGAGACAAGTAAACTAAAGTCCTTAACATGGAGAAGTGACACTGTGCAGAAAGAAAGTTTGACTAAACAAAACACACACACACAGAACTCAAGAAAAGAGTGGTTAGTGAGAGAAGAAAGGTGCACCTACTGGTTATGATAGCTGAGAGGGTCTGGAAGACAAAGTTCTGAAATGTCCATCAGTCCAGTTTTAGCATTCCAGGAATAAGAGCAGAGGACAGAGAAAACAGTTGAGAGCTTCTTCCAGACGGAGCAGAGCAGCTCAGAGACAGCGGCGGCTGGCAGCAGCCCCTCCAGCGGCAGTCCCCCCGGCCTGCACAGGTATGTGGCACTGGGACGGGCTGGGAGCGTGCATGTGTGGATCTGAGACAGGACAGTGTGGGGAGCGAGTGGGGAGAGAGTGGGGAGAGTGTGAGAGAGGCAGAGGGGAGGGACCAGGAGCAGCACGCGGGCGGCACTGGGATGAGCGCTAAGATGGAGAGAGCATGAGAGCGCGGCTGAGAGGAATGACTCTTTCCATGCTCAGGATAGGGCTCTTTAAGACTCCAGGGCTTGATGAATATGGAACAGCTGCTGTTGGCTGGCTCCGAGGGGCAGGACTTAAAGTGACAGAGGGGCCGGCAGAGCTCCGGGAGGAGGGCTCCTCCGCTCACTTGCAGTGTGCACCCAGAGGAGGCAGACAGCAGCCGGCACGCAACAGGACCACAGCACCATAGCACCATAAACACGGGATAACAATGGGACATAAGCACAGGACAGACCCAAGTCAAGAGCCCCAATCACCTACAGCAGCTAGAGTCCAAGAAACATGCAGACACCTTATGTTCACTGCATTCAACTGAGGGACACATTTTACATGTAAATGTCTTTCTTTTATCAATGGACATAATTGAGAGTGATGGTGAACTTCTGTTCATCTAAGGGACCATTAAAATTGTTCTATATTTTAAAGATTTTTTATATATAATTTAACAAGAATGACATATTGAGTTTTGCATATTAAAACTAACATAAAAAACACATTTCAAATCTGGGTGTGCTTCACTTTCTTAAAGCAATAGCTTTTAGGCCACTATAAACATTAAATGTCATTGAGCTTGCTCTGTTTGAGACTGCACGTGTGAGGGGACCATTGTAAAGCTTTCGCCACCTGTGAGAGATGATCTCAGTATAACTCATATTCTGGAAGCCCCTCGGCTTCTGCAGCGCTGGAAACTCCATCTCTGTCTTGTCTAACCCCTGCTTTAGAAGCGCCTGTGTTTCAGCGTTGATGAAGCTCAGTAAGAATGTGGAGAATGCAGATAGCATTTCACAGACAGTGAGGGTCTGCATGTTACTGTATCCCCACATTATAAAAACAGAGCTTACCATGGGATCTTATTGAAGAAATGAGGGGGGTCAGTGAGTTAGTAAGTCCTGTGCTTCAAGCTAACGAGACAAGCTGAACTTTCACTTTTCTGTAAACTTCAATGTAGCCATACAAAGTTCAGCTAAAATCTAGATGTGTAGAGAAGCAGCACCTGTGGGCTTAACCTGCAGCCTGTGCCCAAAGGAGAATGAGTGGCTTGTATGCCTGTCTTTCTCTCTGAACAGGAACTGCATAAGCCCTGGAGAGGAATCCAGTTGCATTCATCAGCCCACATTTCTGTAATCAATGCAAAAACATCACGCAATGGCTATTGATCATCACAGGCCTATTGATGAGCAGCAGTAGTGTCTCCAATGCACACATCACACAGCATCTCTTTCGCGTGAGAGCAAAATCCTTACCGAAACAAAACACAAACGTGACTAATACAAAACGTGACTACTGATACAAATAGTGGAATAGTAGGAAAACAAAGTCTGTCTCAGGAAGAGAGACAGCCCTGTTTCCCGTTATGTTTGAATTTCATATTTGTCCATATTTTAATGTGTGCTTTCCAGGATAGTGACTGGCAGAGCACACAGCCTGACATGTTAAGCTTCTTCAGGCTTCTATCTGAACTGATACAAGGAATCTGTTTGACAGTAGATATCCCAGTAAGGGATGAAAACGGCACTATGAAGAAAATGAACACACAACAAAATGACTGTGTTTTGTCTATTCTAGAAGATCTGTTTAACATTACTAATTACAGAAATATTGGTATAGGCCTAGTGAATATACTCTACAACCCAAACAAGACAGCCATTACACGTTTAGCCTACCCCAAACCACTATGGAAAATATAATTAATATTTCAGAAAATATCACAGACAACAAATTTGTCTAGGTCACTGTCAAAACAACTTAATGCATTTCAATTATCTGCGCAAATTAATCCACTGTGGCCACAAGTGATGTAAAAAATGTCACTAAAAATTGGAATAAAATATGCATAAACTCATACTGCAACTTCTAAAACGCAAGGTAAAGTGCACAATAAACAGTGCATTTAGTGTGTCTTACTTGGACAGGTCATGTCACTTCTCCGGCTCCTCAGCATGGCGTGGAGTGGGTGAGGGCGCAGAGGGTGCAGAACAGGGCAGCAGAGAGAGCGCGGTCTCTGGTCCTGTGGTCCAAGCTGGGGAGGCGGTGTGATGTGGCTGTGTGTCTCTGCGTGCGCCGTTTTACTGTCACATACTGGAGCCACCACATCCACCCCTCCTCCGGTGCGCGCCCTGTGGCTAACCCAACACCTCCTGCGCCTAAGAGCAACGGGACCCGGGTGAGCGAGGTCAAATGTGGTTAAACACAATCTAAACTGCAAATAACTTTAGATTTGATCAAATATGGAACAGCATATGCTTTATATTCAGTTATTTACTCTTTATAAAGTGAAGTGCCCAATATGTTAACCTGCATAAACTATTCCTCATTTACTAAAGTTGTATGTCTTTATTAGCCAGTCATGAGCGCACGTGGATGATTTTGGGTAATTGCTACCAGACAGACGAATAGTTTGGTCGGCTGCTGTTCCACCAAATGTTAATCGTTTACCCAGTATCCACGACGTGATCGCGGGCAATTTCACCCGAGGAAACGTCAGGTGACAGAAGAGAAAATAGTTGAACGCCACCGCCACGGCTGCCCGGTCCTACCCGGCGGTTTCCACTGTTGATGAATAAGTAAGAGCACAATAGCAGCGTCTCGTCTGTGGCACAGATCTCCGCTGGTAGATCACATAACCCCTGCGTCCACAGCTGCACTTTGCTCCACTTTTTAGGACCCATTCAAAGCCAGATAATATATGCAGGAAAGAATAGAGAGGTAAAGGACGAGCATCCCAAAGTGTTTTTTTAGTCACTGTATGTTTCATATCACTCAATTACAGATAAGTCCTTTCTTATTCCAGGATCAGGCGCCTCAAGTTAAAGTCTGCCTCAATATTGTGAAATGTCATTTCTGTAAGGAGGAAACAAAATGCGGAATATTTATGAAGATTTCAAAGATTTTCTTTTTTTTTTTCCTGAATTCCCAGTCTTGCTCCACACTGCACCGGGCCCCAGATCACAAGCTCTCTGATAGCGCCAGCCGAATCCAGCATCTCCACTAGAGGGAGGGCTATCTCAACACAGCTACAAGCTGCAGCAGCGGAGGTACACTTTATTTATTTATTACTCAGGGTAGAAGTGTAATTCATAAAATGAATGAACGACAGATAGGACAGAGCCAGCACACAGCAGGTGCTCTTGTGCATTTACCTGTAACACAAAACGTGCATTCATAAACATTACAAATGTGCAGTTACATTAGGCAGAATGATTGAAATGAGTTTCACTCTATCGGTGTAATAATTTCACTGAGGAAATAAAGTGGCATTAAAAGAATGACACTGCAAAGTATTATTGATTCTTTTCAAATGCAATTAACTGTAGGCCATTTGAAAATAGAGTTGTGTGAGGAGCACAAGGATCACTTCATTTGTGAGAGATATAAGAACCAAATTATCCCATCAAAAAGAAAATCTATAATGGCGCAACACTTGAGCGCTAAAGAATGACAACATTTTTGCTGGTCAGTTCATATAGTTAGTCCAATGAACTTGTACTGAATGGCAGTGGCAGAAATAAAACTGACTTTAAAAAGTGATTTCAAGTGGTACAAAGTAATATTGTATAGTATGATGTTGGTGTTATTATTCTTCTTAAAGTCCCTGTTCACTCAGAGCCCACAGCATGTTTGTTTTCATAGGACAGTCTGTTGTTTTGTTTGGTTGACTTTCTGGATTTGACTTGAGAGCTTAGACTGATTTCACCAAAAGCATGCTTGGGCTGCGGCTGCTGGTCCAAGCAGCTCCCTAACCCAATTACAGTGTTGGTAATCCAGTGAAAAGAAAAATCAGTGAGAAGAGAGTGGCCGAGGCAGAAAGCAAAATGCATGGAACAACTACAGATATGTAGGAGGTCCAAGCATCAATCTCCTGCTCTGCTTCAAAATACTGCATAATTCAACCTCAAACATTTTTACTGAAAGATTTAAACCAAATCAGAAGGTCCGGAGTCTCTCTTGTTCTACCTGCTGTCAGCCGTCCTCCGTCCCCACACAGTAAATTTCATTTAGAAAACATTTTTCTCCCTGTCTCCCTCTCCCCATTTCTGTTCTTTGCTGTCTCCTCTCTTTTTTGGATTCAGAACAGCAGGACACTAAACTCCTTGGCTTAAGTTATATGGACAGGTGGGTTTTAGTGTTGCTTGTGGCTGAGCAGAGTCCGGTGTCTGCCTGTCTGCTTATGTTTACAGCTACACTTATGTTCAGATGTGTGCTAACACACATGTTGCTTTTCTGTGTTCCCATGCTAGCTCGGAATGAGATGGCATCACTGGCTGGAGTGGCAGTCTGGAAATGAGATAAGGATGTCTGATTCATAGGATCTGACAGGAAATCTATACTGTGCAATGTTTATAATCCAGCCATTATTACACAGCCAAATGAAAGAACAATAATCCAATCATTCACTCCGCATTTACCTGAGGCAGAGTCTCCCTTTTAGAGTAAAGTGCATTGTGCTGTGACAAGGGCTGTAGAACAGCTGATAGGCCTGTGTTTTTACACAGAGAGGAGAGTGACCAGAGGAACACGTTAGCCTCCAGGGAGACTTGTACAAACAAAACAAACTGGGCTAACTGTCATCCATTACTTATCATTAAGAAAATACGGTTTTATGGAGAACTTTGAAAAAGAAATCTAAAATGTCATGCATCATTCAAAAGCACTG